TAAGTCTAGATACTCCTACAAATCATTTCTAAGATGCTCATGTATCAAATTAGGTGTATTCCTAAATACATAAAAACCTTTTTCTAAATGGTAAAATCTTAAGCAATGTAATATGGACAGTAGTTTGCTGCTTCCCTAAGATGTGATGCACCTCACATTGCCATTCTCATTGCATAAAGCCCTTCCACTTGCATATCTAATTGGTTAGTGCACTCCCTGTTTCTTTTTATTTTTTTATCAATACTGCTTTAAAAAGAAATCAATGGATTATAAATAGTAGGAAGAGAATTTGAAGAGACAGGCATTAATATTAGAAAATTAATGATAATAATGAGGATTTTTATGAGATGAAGATTTAAATATGCTTATTATCTAGTAAACTTTTCATGAAAGGAAAAATTAAAAGACATGTCTCTTTCTCTTTCTTTTGATTTAATATACATGTAACGGAAAATGATAATAAATATATTAATTTAATATACATAAAATAATTGGAGAGGTTGTTTTACTACATATTTATATATTAATTAAGGATATATAGCAAGCTTGACCAACTCATTAAGATAAAATGTATTCTTAGTTTTTTTCTTTTCTTTTTTTAATGTTTCTAAACTATTGTTAATACATATACTGTTTAATGCATAAGGTAACGTCATATATATATATAGATATAGACATGATTAAGAGTAGTATAATTTTAGAGGAAAGAAAATGAATAATCATGAATAATTATATATAATTATTATATTATATATTTAGTACATATTAAATATATATAAGTGTATATCCTATTTAATGTAGGAAAATACTATTAGAACAATCATTTTATCTCATCTTTTTATACAATTTGACATATCATTAAAATAATTCGTTCTTTTAATTTATGTGAAACCTATGATATTAAATACATCCACTTATTTAATGATATGTGAAAGTTATACAAAAAAGTGAAACAAAAAAATTATCCAAATAGCATCACCTTTTAATGTATAGGGTAACATTTTATATATACAAATTATCTTTAAATCACTTAAATTATTCACATTAATTATATATACAAATTATGTATAAATAGATCATAATTGTTTTATATGTTAATGAGAATGTAATCACTAATTGCATCGCAAATATATATTATTAAAGTTATTAGAGTTACCGAGCCATAGGTTTTAGTCTACATGTATTATTGATTACAAATTGCACAAATGGACGAACATAAGACGACCATTTAAGTTTAATTGAGATGGAACAAAGTAGTAGAAATAATCTTTAGAAAATTGAAATTTGATCATCCATGACGCGAATAGCATGCGCTGTGTATAATTGCCTCCGATTCACACTCACCATGGAGGTTTTGAATTTGAACAGAGACGGGTAAGTAGATGGAATTGCTGACGTTCAGCGGCGCGACGCAGCGCAAGTCCCCTGGAATACTGGAAAAGGCAAATCGTGAAAAAAAACAAAAACAAAAGAAAAAAAAAAGAAGAAAGAAGTCCCTTTAGTATTTGTTCTACAAAAACAAAGTCCCTGAACTTGTCAAGCATTAGCACACTAGTTCTTAAACTGAAATCAGTCGCATATTAGATCTTATGTAATGGATGATGTCAGCAATCCATTGGCACTTTGTCCATGGTTACTATTTGAGGTGAGAGGAAGGGAGATTGTTTTAACTAATTAAATTATTTTATTTATTTAATAATTTACTATAATTAGTTGAAATAGTATCCCTTTTCTCTCTTTTTTTTTTTTTTTTTTAAAAAAAAAAAAACCTAAACAAGCTATTAAATAAGTGTTGTTTTGGTTCGAATGGCATGATTGCTTAGATTGCATTTTAGTGGACCAAAAAGATGACACTGTTGTTAAATGGCCTTTTTGGTTGACTCACACTCTCGATATCATAATCGAATTTTTTTAGTATATTTAATGAAATGAATCTAGGTTAAATTCATTTTGTTTTAAAATAATTATATTGATTTAAAATTTGTTTTAAATTAACTCTTACTATTTTATTTTGTAAACAAATATTTTTTATACTTTAATATTATTGTTGTCTCTTAATTTTAATTATCCACCATATTATTATTTTTTTTATATTTTTGAGAGTATCATAAATAATGATAATATTATATTTATAATATTACATAAAATTATAAGTTTATAATTTTATGTGACACTAAATGAATACCAAATCCCTTATTCGCACATTGAACATTATTGTTTTCCATAAGTAATACCTTTTAAAATTTTCACTTTTGATTAAAACCATCTAGAATTTGAAACTCATAAAAAACTTAAAAAATTAATGACTAAATCCTCTATTTACATCTTAATTTGCACATGAATTTATTGTTAATTTTGAGTTTTTTTTATAGGTTTTAGATTATAAAAGGTGTTGATTAAATTAAAAATTTATAGGGTGTTAATTGTAAAAAATAATAAAATCTAAAGTATAAATAGAGGGTTTAGGTATAAATAAAATATGACGTGATATTAAATAAATGAATGTATATAATATTATAAGTGAACTCTTAAATAAAAAGAATTAATTATATAATGATTTATCAAATTATAAATTTATAATATTATATAATATTACAACTATAATATTTTTGTATAAGTAAAATATAAAATTATTCTTAAAATTTTAATCTAAGAAAAAATAAAAAAGTAATAATTATTTTAAAATAAAAAAATTAACTGTAGAATAGTTTTATTAACAAAATAAATTTTATTAAATTACCATGTTGGCCCAAAAAAAAATCCACGCAGGCTTTTGAGAACCCACATCAAAGCCGAATCAACAGTAGGGTCCACAAAATTGAGGACATTATCCGTAAATCAAAGCTTAAATTTCCACCGCGGATGAGATTAAGGGGCCGTCTGCTACTAATTTCGGTTCAGAGGCTAATCTACCACTGTTCTATAAGTTCAAGGGCTTTTATTGGCAAGTTTTTCAAAATGAAAAACTAATTGTTTATTTGTGCACGAGGAATGCGAGACACACGCTGTAAGAAATCTCCTCAACTTCCACAGCCGCGTAACTCAACCCAATACAACTTAGATCATCGCCACGTGTCCTCTCCTTTACTCTTTTGCGGCTCCCAAAACGCGTATCTCTTCGGTTTTGACTTCTCCCTTCCACTCCGAGAGAGACACTTCATCGCACTCCCCCATCCCCCCCTCCTCTGCATATATAAAGAGCCGCAAATTCCATTTCTAAGCAACACAACAGCAATCCAACAAAAGCAATCGAATCAAACAGTCACCCCTCCTGAAGTCAGTTCAGATTGTAATTTGTCGGAATCTGAACTGAGAAAACAGGGCATCGAAAACATGGTTAAGAAGGCCAGCGAGAAACCTGCTCAGAGGAGTGATTCGAGGTACAAGGGTGTGCGGAAGCGGAATTGGGGGAAGTGGGTGTCCGAGATCAGGCTACCCAACAGCAGGGACCGAATTTGGTTGGGATCTTACGACTCCGCCGAAAAGGCTGCGCGTGCCTTCGATGCGGCCCTTTTTTGTTTGCGTGGTGGCACCGCGAAATTTAATTTTCCTGACAGTCCGCCGGACATAGCCGGTGGGAGGTCAATGACTCGGCCCCAGATCCAAGCGGCGGCTGCCCAGTTCGCGAACTCAGCCCCTTCCACGAGTATATTGGAACAATCAACTTCTGGGTTACAAACGGAGTGTCCGTCGCCTTCGATTTCAAACGAGACGGTGCAGTTGGATTTGGAATTTGATTTGGCGATGGAGGGGTCGTTTATGGATTTTGTGAGTATGGGTTCGGGTAATTTCGCGTCGGATTATGATATATTCACCGGATTCGACGATTTCTCGAATTACTTCCTTGGAGCTAACTTGCTGACTACAGAAGAGGAAAATCTGGATTCCACAACAATGCAGGGATCCTTCCTTTGGAATTTTCAGTAGCTCCGGTGGATGGCAGCAGCGGCCGGATTGTTAAAACGTTGGACATTTTTAGTACTATGTGGACTACTGCTGACAGTAACAATTACCTCCGGAACAATTGGAGCTGGACTTAATTTTTTGGGCCAATTTTTGTACGGGCCCTTGCTTTCCCATTCAACACGTGCTAAAAAATGAAGATGCCGTTGAATTTTTTTGTAGTGGAATGGCTTCGTTTGGAGCTATACGCACACCTTTTTTTTCTTAGTTCACTTTATGGAAAAATATAAATTTATCATAAATAAATAATTTTAATTTTTGTTTGAACCTCGGCAAATTATGAGTGGATTGGAGATTTTTTTAAATAATTTATGAGAATTGAATTTTTAATTAATTAAATTTAAATATTAGAGATTGAAAATGAATCACTAGATCTAAAAATTCGAATCAAATAATTTTAATTATTATTTTACATATTTTTAATAAAAATATAGTGCATATAAATATGAGTCTCATTACTTTCTATTTTAAAAACATCATACTCTAGCTTTATGTGAAAATTTAAAACATTAACTGTTAAATTCAATTTTTTATTAATATAAATAATGTATTTAAATTGATTAAATATTTATAGTATCTTTTATTACATATTTAATATTATTAAATTTTATATAATTAATAAATTAAGTAAATATATTTAATCAATCTCATAATTAACATTTATAATTTACATAAAAAACTAAATATAATAGTAAGTTTTTAAAAATATTTATTGAAAAGTTGTGTGTTCTTAATTCAAACTATTTTTAATAAAAATTAAAATTAATACCGTAAATTATGTGATTTAATAATAAAATTATATGTACTCTTAATAATAAATTTTAATTTTAATTTTAATTTTTGTGTATTAAAAAATGAAAATTAAAACTAACATGTTCTATTTTAT